CTGCCGCTGCCGCTGCTGCTGCTGCTGCTGCTGCTGCTGCTGCTGCTGCTGCTGCTGCTGCTGCAGCTACGAGGGCCAGTGGCGGGACGACAAGCAGCACGGGCAAGGCATGGAGCAGTGGCCCGACGGCGCCAAATACGAAGGGCAGTACCTCGCGGGCAAGAAGAGCGGCAAAGGCATCTTCACCTGGGCAGACGTCAGCCCCAGCTAGCTAGCTAGCTAGCTAGCTAGCTAGCCAGCTAGCCAGCTAGCTAGCCAGCTAGCTGGCTAGCTAGAGGGCTGGCTGGCTGGCTGGCTGGCTGTGCTGGGGTGCAGCTGAGCTTGCGTGGATGGCTGGCTGGGCAGCTAGCTGGCCAGCTAGCTAGCCAGCTAGCTGGGCGGCTAGCTAGCCAGCTAGCCAGACAGCCAGCTGGGCGGCTTGCTAGCCAGCTAGCTAGACAGCTAGCTAGACAGAGAGCTAGACAGATAGCTAGGCAGCTAGCTAGACAGATGGCTGGGCAGCTAGCTAGACAAATAGCTAGGCAGCTAGCTAGACAGCTAGCTAGGTGGCTAGCTGGCTAGCTGGCTAGCTGGATGGATGGCTAGCCAGACAGCTGGCTGGATGGATGGCTAGAGAGATCGCTGGATGGGTAGGGAGATGGCTAGCTAGCTAGCTAGAGATACTATGGGCTAGCTAGCTGCCTAGCTAGCTAGCTGGCTGGCTAGCTAGCTAACTCGCTGGCTAGCTGGCTCTGGCTGGAGAGATAGCTGGCTAGCTAGCTAGCTAGCTAGCTACGGAGATTGGGGGCTAACTAGCTAGCTAGAGGGATTGGTAGCTGGCTAGCTGGAGGGACTGGTAGCTAGCTGGATAGCTAGATTGGTGGCTAGGTAGCTAAAGGGATTGGTAGCTAGCAAGCCAGCTAGAGCTTGCCAACTAGCTAACCAGCTAGCCGCGCAGCTAGCCACACAGCTAGCCAGCTAGCTAGCTAGCTAGCTAGCCACACAGCTAGCTAGCTAGCTAGCTGCTGCTGCTGTGTCCGCAGGGAAGCGTTTATGAAGGAGAGTTTCGCGGAAACGACATAGAAGGGTTTGGGGTTTAGCTAGCTAGCTAGCCACTCCCGTAGCTTCCTAGCCACATACCATCTAGCGATCTATCGAGCGGTCGATCGGTCGATCGGTGCGTCGTAGCTAGCTAGCTAGCTAGCTAGCTAGCTGCTGCCTCTTTGTCCTCAGGGAAGCGTTTATGAAGGAGAGTTTCGCGGAAACGACATAGAAGGGTTTGGGGTTTACCGCTGGGCCGACGGCCGCCAGTACGAAGGCCAGTGGCTGCGGAACCGCATGCACGGCCAGGGGCGTTTTCGCTGGGCGGACGGGAGGGTTTACGAGGGGCAGTACCGCCACGACCAGAAGCACGGAAAGGCGAGGGTTTAGGGTTTAGGGTTTAGGGTTTGGGGCTAGGGTTTAGGGTTTGGGCTTGCGGCTTGGGCGGGGGCTTTGCCGCGAGAAAACCCGCCAAAAAACGAGGGTTTTGCGGGCCCGGGGCGAGGTTTTAGGGTTTGGGGAGGTTTGAGGCGCCGCCGCTGCTGCTGCTGCTGCTGCTGCTGCTGCTGCTGCTGCTGCTGCTGCTGCTGCAGGGGACCTTCTTTTGGCCGGACGGGCGGCGGTACGTGGGCAGCTGGCAGCAGGGGAAGCAGCACGGCTGTGGGGTTTATATAACAGCAGCAGCAGAGCAGCGCGTGGGGGAGTGGGAGGAGGGCCGCCGCATTCGCTGGCTCAAGGAGCAGCCGCAGGAGCTGCAGCAGCAGCAGCAGGAGCTGCAGCAGCAGGAGCAGCAGCAGCAGCAGCAGCAGCAGCAGCAGGAGCCCGCCTCGCAGCAGCAGGAGAGCACTGCCTAGAAGAGGAGGAGGAGCCAAACGGCCCATTCGCTGGCCCAAAGAGCAGCCACAGGAGCAGCAGCAGCTGCAGCAGCAGCTGCAGCAGCAGCAGCAGCAGCCCGCCGCATAGCAGCAGCAGAGCAGCGCCTACGCGAGTTTGGGAGGGAAGAAGCCCATTCGCTTGTTCAGGCAGGCTCAGGAGCTGCAGCAGCAGCAGCGGCAGGAGCTGATGCAGCTGCAGCAGCAGGAGCTGCAGCAGCAGGAGCTGCAGCAGCAGGAGCTGCAGCAGCAGGAGCTGCAGCAGCAGGAGAGTGGAGGAGAGCGTGTTCGGGTGTGAAGGGGGCAGGCTAGTTTGCTGCTTCAAGGAGCAGCCTCAGGAGCTGCAGCAGCAGGAGCTGCAGCAGCAGCAGCAGCAGCAGCAGGTGCTGCAGCAGGAATAGCAGGAGCTGCGTTAGCAGCAGCAACAGGAGCAAGAGTCACAACAGAAGCAGCAGCAATAGCTGCACGGTAGGAGCTACAGCAGCAGCAGCAGCAAGGGCTGCAACAGGTGCAGATGCAGCAGCAGCAACAGCTGCAAGAGCAGCAGCAGCAGCAACAGCAGCAGAGCACGTCAGCAGGCACATTTGCTGGCTTAAGAAGCAGCAAAGAGCTGAAGCAGCAGCAGCAGCAGAGCAGTGCGCAGCATTCTAAAGGAGCAGATTCAGGAGCAGCAACAGCAGCAGCAGCAGCAGCAGCAGCAGCAGCAGCAGCAGCGTGAAGCCGGGCAGAAAGACGGCAGGCGCGTACGCTGGCCACATGACCAGCAGCAGCGGAAGCAGCAGCAGCAGCAGCAGCAGCAGCAGCAGCAACTGTGTCGGCCCTAGATGGAAGCACCTCTGCGAAGCAGCGAAGCAGAGGACAGGAAACAAACGGGCTGCAGAAGCAGCAGCAACAGCAGCAGCAGCAGCAGCAGCAGCAGCTGCTGCTGCTGCTGCTGCTGCTGCGAGTGCGGCGTAGGAAGACGCAGAGCGAGCACAGCTCGCCGTAGCTACAAAGCAGCAGCAACAGCAGCAGCTGCAGCAGCAGCGGCAACAACTGCAGCAGCAGTGGTCGCAGCGGCAATAACTGCAGCAGCAGCAGCAGCGCAGCCGCAGCAGCAACTGCTGCTGCTGCTGCTGCTGCTGCTGCTGTCTTGGAGATGCACCTGTGTGTGGGGCCGCACAGGTGCTGTTGAGGTGTCTGCGCATACACCGCAGAAAGTGCATGCATGCAAGTTGTAAAGGGGCTTTGGTATTTGTTCATTTATTTATTATTTGTTCATTTATTATTTATTATTTGTTATTTATTTATTATTTATTATTATTATTTATTATTATTTATTATTTATTTATTTATTGTTTGTTTGTTTGTTTGTTTGAGGCCGCTGCACTCATTTGCACATTTCCACTTTTGCATGCAACCACTTTTGCACTTTTCGAAAATTCCGATTTCTTTTTTATTTTCGTTTCTTTTTATTTTCGTTTATTTCTTTTTATTAATTTCATTTATTTATTTCTTTTTGTGCATTTCATTATTTGTTTCTTTTTATTTATTTCCTTCATTCTTTTCTTTTTGTGCATTTCATTTATTTGTTTCTTTTTATTTATTTCTTTTTATTTATTTCCTTCATTCTTTTCTTTTTATTCTCATTTCTTTCTTCACAGTTTCTCAATTCAAATTCATTTCTTCTTTTTTATATTTATTTCTGATTCTTTATTTTCCATTTTCGTGTTTATTTCTACTTCTTTCTGTACTTCTTTTTTCAGATTTATTTCTCATTTAATTCTTTCTCTATTTCTTCTCTTTTCGTATTTATTTCCAGTTTTTCTTTAATTCAAATTCATTTCTCTTTTTTAATTTATTTCTTCCTTTTTATATTTATTTCTTCAAATTCTTCATTTGTTTATTCCATTTCTGTGTTTATTCTATTTCTCTGTTTATTCCATTTATTTATTCCTTTATTCATTTATTCTAAACAATTATTTATTTATATTTTCTAGTTAATTATTTATTCTGTTTGTTTCTTTCTTTGTTTCTAAAAGTGGATTTATTAAATTGAATTTCCACTTTTGATTTATTTCCTTTTTGCATTTCTCGAGTTGGAAATGGCGGCTCCAGACAAAGAAACAAAAGAAATAAACTAAATAAAATAAAATAAATAAAATAAAATAAATAAATTGAAAAAACAATAAAACGAAATAATGAAATAAATAACAATAAATAATAAATACAATAAATAAGTAATGAAGAGCAGCAGCAGCGGCGCCCGCGCCAGCAGCAGCAGCAGCAGCAACAGCAGCAGCAACAGCAGCAGCAGCAGCAGCAGCAAAGCCCGAATAAGTCCGAAAGAAATTTCGAAGAAATGGAATCAAAGATTTCGAAATAAATAAACTTTTTGAGTTGTAATTCTTGAGTTGAAAAGGAAATGTGAATGCCAATGAAATCCAATAATTTATATTTTATTCAGCAGCACTTTCTTGTGCAGTTCAAAGCCCAGCAGCAGCAGCAGCAGCAGCAGCAGCAGCAGCAGCCCCCGCTGCTGCTGCTGCTGCTGCTGCTAATTTATTTGTTCTTTATTTCTTTCAGTCAGGGTGAGACGAACCCTAGTAGGGTTGGGGGCGTAGGTGTGAGGTGTACGTACACCTCGGCGCATGTGAAAGGTGGAGTTGCTGCAGCAGCAGCAGCAACTGCAGCAGCAGCAGCAGCAGCAGCAGCAGCTGCTGCTGCTGCAGCAGCCCCTGTCGTTATGTTTGTCTCCAAAGAGACAGAGGCCATTTGTAGTGCAAACAAATGCAGACTTCATCACAAATAAAAATAAACTAAAGAACAAAAATCCCACTCCAGACAGCAGCAGCAGCAGCAGCAGCAAGAGCAGCAGCAGCAGCAAGAGTAGCAGCAGCAGCGGCAAGAGTAGCAGCAGCAGCAGCAAGAGCAGCAGCAGCAGTACTTCTCCCCGAAGCAGCAACAGCAGCAGCTGATGGAATTAAACAAAACCCTTAAAATGGAATTAAAGGGTTTAAATAAAACCCTTAAAATGGAATTAAACAAAACCCTTTAATTGCAAATAAAGGGTTTATTAATTGCATTTAAATGATTAAACAAATCCACTTTCCGCCTCAAACCCTCATGGCCTAAACCCTAAACCCTAGCTGCAGCAACAGGCCTTCCCCGAGTCTAAACCCTAAACCCTAAACCCTAAACTCTAAACCCTAAACCCTAGCTGCAGCGACAGTCCTTTGCTGAGTCTAAACCCTAAACCCTAAACCCTAGAATCTGCGTAGCACTGGTTGCGCTTAAACTCTGTGAGAGCAGTTGTTAGGTTGATGCAAAGCCTTCAGTGCTGCTGCTGCAGTCTGCTGCTGCTGCAGTCAGCAGCAGCAGCAGCAGCAGCAGCAGGCGTTGGTGTCTGCTGCAGCAGCAAAAGCCGCATTGGCAGCGGCGTTGCTGCGGCTCAGCGCTGCTGCGCTCTCTGCTGCTCCCCCGCCCGCAGCAGCAGCCTCTCTCCTCCTCCCTGCTGCTGCTGCTGCTGCTGCTGCTGCTGCTGCTGCTGCTGCATCACCTTTCCTCCCCGCAGCAGCAGCAGCTCTCTCTCTCTCGGTTCTGCGCAGCAGCAGCTCTCTCGAGCTCCGCAAACTCCACCCCCTGCAGCAGCAGCTGCAGCAGCAGCAGCAGCAGCAGCAGCAGCAGCAGCTCTAGTAGCTCTCAAAGAAAGGCGCCGGCTCCAGCGTCTGCAGCAGGATTTGCTGCTGCTGCAGCAGCAGCGGCCCGCGCGGCTGCTGCGGCAGCCTTTTCGTCTGCGGCGGCGGGCGGCCCTGCAGCCGCGCCTGGTGGCGCAGCAAATCGTTTTGCTGCAGTCTGCTGCTGCTGCTGCTGCTGCTGCTGCTGCAGCGGAGGTGTTCGACGCGAACGTGGAGTCTTTTCAGCAGCAACTTTCCCCCCACTCTCTTCTTAACTTCAACTCCCAAAGACCTTTTTCTAACGTCGAAAACTCTGCCAGTTCTTCCGTGAAAATAATTAAATGGCATTCCTTTTTGGCAGTTGGGGTCGCAGCAGATGTCCACGAGGTCGCCCTTGCGGTGTACGTACAGCTGGCGGGCCGCGCCCGCCGGGCCGTGGCGCCGAAA